GAAGAACAGGCTGAGCTTGGCGCTGGGTTGAAGACTCTCATTGGAAGGATACCCAAAGTCCTCCATCCCCAGCTGCGCCAGCTCCTCGTTGATGACTGCGGCAATGTTCACCAGACCCTCGGTCCAGTGCTCCACTGTGTCTCTGAACGAGTTCTGGGTAACTGCGATGCTCTCCAGCAGCGCCGCGTCAGCCTTGACCTTCTCCGACAAGGTCTTCTCCCGCTCCTTGGCGGCCTCCAGCGTCTGCGTCAGCGTGGCCAGCTTCAGCTCCAGGTCTGCTTTGGAATTCTTGGCGGCGCTGAGCTCCTTGCCCCTCTCAGCGAGAAGGCCTTGCAGCTCACCGCGGGCGGCAGCATTCTTCTCACGCTCACGATTGAGCGCGGCAAGCTCCTCTCCGCTCTTCCCAATGTCGGCCTCCAGCTGCGCCACCTTCTCCTCCAGCTCTTTCTTGGCGGCCTCTGCAGTTGCCGCAGCGTCCTTTGCCTCCTTGAGCGCCCCGCCAAGTGCTCGCTCACGCTCGGCGAGCTCTTCCTCGTAGCTGTCGAGGTGGGCCTTCCGCTGCACCAGTTCACCTTCCCGCGCGGACTGCTTCTCGGCGGCCAGCCTTTGCTCCTCCTCAGCTTCGGCCTTCTCGAGAAGGAAGGCCGTGCACTCCTCGTCGACTCGCTCCCGCTCCTGCGCCAGGGACCGGAGAGCTTCTTGATTTTGTCCCGGAGCTCCTCCGCGCGCTTCTCCATGTCCACTCCCGCCTTCGCGACAAGCGCTTCCCGGGAAGCCAGCTTGGCTTGCCGGGTGCGGTAGAGTGACAGCAGCTTCCGCAGCACCTGCTCCTCCTCAGGCTCGCCACTGCTGCTGCTAGGCGTGTCGACCAACGACAGTCCAGCAGAGGCGAGCACCTCCCCGTCAAAAGCTTCCCCCTCGACTGGCGCCCTGGAGCTCGATGCCCAGGGTAACTTGATGAAGATGTCGTCGCCGGCCTTCAAATAGGCGCCGGACTGGGGCTCCTCGGAGCCCGGCTCTGCAGAAGCGGCAGAGGGATCGGCGGTCGGCGCAGCGCCTGGCGCTCCTGCGGCCTCAGGGTCGTCAATGTGATCGCCCGACCCCTCGCCGGCTTCTGCAACGGCAGCCCTGGCGGCCTCCTCGCCGGCGGTTTCATCAGCACCGGCTCTTTCCTCGCCGGCGCCCTCTGTCTCCATTGGCTCAGTAGCAGAGGGGTCTGAAGAACGAAGAAGGGAGAAAAATCAACCAAAAATCCAAGAAAGGAAAAACAGAAGAAGCAGAACCCAAGGGAAAGTTTCTGGACAAGTGGATTACCTGCGCCAAGATCTTCAGTTACGGCCTCGGTCGCCACAGGATCAGCAGTGACGTCCCTTGCCGGAGAGTCCCCCCTTGCCGGAGAGCGCTCCCTTGCCGGGGACTCCTCCCTTGGCGGCGCAGTCGAAGCAGGTGGCACTTCGGGACCGGCCTCCGGGCGCTCCTGATGAGGCTGCTCTGCTCCTGCACAAGTCAACAAGCAAGATATCAACAAAGGAGAAAGCACTCAAGCGCGCCCGGCAGCAGAAGGTTAAACTATGAACTTACGCTGGGGGCTGCGCTGGGGGCTGCTTTGAGGAGTGATTGACGGGTCCGTCAAGGTGATCTCAGACCCACCCCCTATTGACAAAGTGGGGTCATCTTCGATGATGATCACCGCGGCCTTGGCCCTCTTCGCCGCTCTCTGGGCCAGCGTCCTGAAAAGAAAAGAGTCCAGATTGGAGCAAGTCAGATACAAGATATAAACAACGAGATTGAAGAACTACAAGAGCACCAAAGAAACTCACTTTTCTTCCTCTTCGTCGGAGCTGAGCACGGAAAGATCGAAGTCCGCTCTCCTCCGGTGCGGCGAGGTGGAGGAGTAGGATCCCTTGCCCGCTTGGCGGGGGCAGTGGCAGTGGCCCGGGAAGATCCTGCTCCAGTTGTCGCTGTTGCGTGAGGCGCTCCCGCGGCAACATTACTTGCCGTGGTAGAGCGCGTCCCGCGGCTCGGTAGCTGTGGAGCCGGCTGCCGCCCCGCTGCGTCCCCGGCCCTGCGAAGGCGCCTCCTTGGCGGGGCCGGGGGCTCTGCCTGCGGCAAGTTCTCTAAAGGCTCAACCTCCTCCTCGCCGGCCTCGCTCGGCTCGGCTTCGGAACCGGCAGGCTCCTCCTCGCCCATGAACTCCGCGCGTTCAGCAAGGTTTGCCGCCTCTGCAGCCTCCGCCTCCTCCACAGTAAACCCAAACGCACCCGCGGCAGCTGCGGCCGCAGCCTCTTCCGCCCTAGTAGCGATGAGCTGCAGCTCCTCGTCGGTGGTATCACGGGTGAGGCTCTTCTGCTCGTCAGCGCGGACCGGCACTTCCTCCAAGGTGTCGAAGAACGCTCGCACAATGTCATCCGCAGGCTCTTGCCAAGTTGGGACAATGCCGTGTGAATCGCACAACGGCATCATGGCGCGGATCCGGTCAAGCGAAGAGTTATTGCACAAAGGAACTACGCCCCTCGGTAGTGTGAAGGGGTGCTGGGGGTCGCGTTTGAATAATTTCAAGAGCATTGCGTCCAACTCCAAGACGGTGAAGTTGTAGTTGAGGCCCGGCCGCAGCCTCATGATGTCCGCCGAATTCTTGAATTCCCAGGCGGGCCTCCCCCTCTCCTGCAGGGGGGCAATGCGGCGGCGGAGGAAATCTGCTCCGACAGCACCTACGGTGAGCCCGGCAAGCCTGAGGCGAAGGATCCTAGTGATGGCGATCTTCAGCCTCTCGTCTTCTGGGGCCACATTGCTCCAGTCATTGCCGCACACTATTGGAGTTTGGCGCACGGCGGTGAAGGGCTGCGGATTCTCCTCAACGATCCAGCACCACTCCGCTCTCCACTCCTCCCACTTGCTGCGGAGCTCACCATCCAAGTACGCCTCCTTCTTGCCGACCCTCGAGACCCAAGCAATCCCTCCGGCAAGCGGCTCTCCTCTCTCTACCCGAGGCATGAAGAAGTGGCGGAAAAGAGCAACATTGGGGTGGACTCCGACAAAGTTTTCGCACAAATGTGCGAAAACTGCCATGGTCAGGACAACGTTGGGGGTGAAGTCAAGGAGGCGGAAGCCATATGTATTCATAATATCACAGAAGAACTCCGAGAAGGGTGGGCAGAGCCCGCAATAGAAGAATAGCGGGAAGAACGGGTACCCGTTTGGAGCCAGCTTCGAAGCGGTAGCCGGGAGTACCCTCGTGCGCGGATGCGCACGCGTCTCCGTCGCCCAAAAGAGATAGAAGTACTCCCTCAGCTCCTGCACGCCGAGCTGGGGGGTGAAGATCGCCCGCTCCTTCTGCAGCGCCGCGAGCCGCTGCGCCTCGGCCGACTTCACGCCCTTTCCCTTGTCGGCTTTCGGAGCCATGGCGGAGGTGGTGGGGAAGGTCGTCGGCGTGGTGATGCTGGTGGCAATGGGGGGCGGAGCGCTGCTCTCTCGGCTTCGAGAAGAAGGGGGGAGCGGCGGAGTTTGTGAAGAAGGAGTAGCAGCAACCAGCGAGGGGGAACGAACTGCCTCTGTTTCCTCTGCTTATAAAGAGGGGCGGGGCGGACGTTTCGTCCTTCCTAATAAACAACCACCCACGATCTCTCCCACGATGCCGCATTCAACGCATGCCGTTATGGGAGAGCGCGATGGATACGGAACAAGATTTGGCGTGGCCCAGCCCGCGTGTGCCCGTGCCTGTCTTGGGCCTGGCCCAACAGCGCTCGGCACCGTGTCTGGCCCAGGCCCGGGGGCTCCTGTCGGTGTACTAGAATAGGGGTACCCTAGTACCCCGAACTTGTGCACGGGCAGTTGCAGCACCCCGCGGCAAAGGCTTGCCGGGCGAACGCCAAGATCCCCCAAGGTTCCCTTGGAGCCATCCAAGAACAAAGTATTTAAGCTAAGGAGACAAGACCCCGGCAAGAGGAGCTTGCCGGGAAGGCCAACCAAGGCGCTCCAAGGAACTTGCCGCGACGCGCCACGCGCTCCGGCAAGGCAACAAGGCCCCAGCAAGAGGAGCTTGCCGGGAAGACTAACCAAGGTACCTCGAAGTCCGGTGAGCGACAAGCCTCCGGGCCCGACAAGATAGCAGCAGCAGCAAGGCGCTTGCCGCGGCAGGCGGCCACTCTGTGCCCACGCTCCAGCGCATCCACCAACGTGTCGTTCTGGAGGCCTCTCCAGACGCGCGTGGCGGGAGGCTGTGCAGCCAGCGGTGCACTGTGGCATGCGAAGCTGACAAGATAACCATCGTGGCGAACGGTGGCACCCTTAACGGTCCCTTTCTGCACTGTTTGGGTGACTCAGACGGGCATTAAATGCCCTTGTCCCCTGCCGTCAGGGTTAGGTAGGGTGCACTGTACAAGCTACTGTATCAACTACTTCGCTTTTTACGTTTTTACCCTCCTCTGCGTTGCCACCTGTCGGTGACCCCTTTAGCGTATAAAAGGAGGCCCATGCGCAACGTAGAGGGGGTTCGGAGTTTCGAAGGTTCGGACAGTTTGCTTCGATCCATTTGTAAACCAGAGAACATCACACTCTCGGGCCCGAGAGCAAGAACAACAGATAATACAACCAGACAAGCAGCAGTAGGAGTGTTATCTCTCCGGAGAGCTCCGAAGCTGGATAAACCGCTCGTGTGCCTCGCCTCGATCTGCTCTTCGTGCGACCTCCGCCCCCCGCCGAACCGAAAGGGGCCGATCCGCCGGCTCCATAGGTGTTCGTGGATCAGCTTTCGCACGACACCTTCCATCGGCAATTTCAGTTCGCTATCTCTATCTACAAAGCAGTGGCGAATTACAAAACTTCCATATCGATCCCAAGCTGTCGTGCAGACAGCGCCATACGCACAAGCTACCATACTTATATTCCATGTAGCACATGCGAACTAGTAGAAAAAGCTCGGTGGTCGTGATCCTCCTTTCCGAATAAAAAGTAGTAGTACAACCTTGCAAGCTGGGTAGTAGCCAGTAGGTCTCGCATCCATGGCTGCCCCTCCTAGTCCTCGGCCTCCTGTCATGGTGCTTCCCTTCCCTGCGCAGGGCCATGTCATGCCCCTCATGGAGCTCTCCCATCGGCTCGTCGGCCACGGGCTCGAGGTGGACTTCGTGAACACGCACTACAACCACGACCGCGCCCTCAAGGCCATGGCCGCCGAGAGAGGAACCGTTGACCCCGACGGCATCCACATGGTCTCGCTCCCTGACGGTATGGGACCCGACGGCGACCGCACCGATATCGCCTTGCTGGGCAGCGGCTTGCCGGCGGCCATGCTCGGACCCCTGAAGGAGATGATCAGGTCCAAGAAGATCAAGTGGGTGATCGCCGATGTGTCCATGTGCTGGGCGATGGAGCTGGCCGCCACGGCCGGCGTCCGCGTCGCCCTGTTCTCGACTTTCTCGGCCGCCGTGTTCGCGCTCCGGCTGCACGTGCCCAAGCTGATCGACGATGGCGTGCTCGACGAGTCTGGTAAGAAGAAACCAAATCAAGTAGACCACTGTGCTCTTGCTCTGTGTCGTTTTATCTGACTCAGAGATCGAGTGCGTGTATGAAATGCAGGGAACGTGAGGAGGAACGAGACGATCCAGCTGACCCCCAAGATGCCGCCGATCGAGGCTGCCGAGCTACCATGGGTCTGCCTGAGCAGCTTGCCGGAGAGACGCAGGTTGATGATTCAGATCTTGCTCAAGACCAACCCGGTGATACCGCTGGCCGCCATCGTCATCTGCAACACGTTCGAGGGTATCGAGTCGGAGGCGCTGGATCTCCTCCCCAACGCGCTGCCCGTCGGCCCCCTCGAAGCGCCGGCGGCGTCGAGCTCTGCCGGCCAACTCTGGCCAGAGGACCCCGTCTGCCTCCCCTGGCTCGACGCGCAGGCCCGCGGCTCCGTCATCTACGTGGCGTTCGGGAGCTTCACCGTCTTCGACGCGGTGCGGGTCCAGGAGCTCGCCGACGGGCTGGAGCTCACGGGCCGGCCTTTCCTTTGGGCGGTCCGGCCGAACATCACCGCCGGGATCAGAGAAGAGTGGTTCGACGCGTTCAAGCTCCGCGTGGAGGGCAAGGGGCTGGTGATGGGCTGGGCGCCGCAGCAGCGCGTGCTCTCGCACCCCTCCGTCGCCTGCTTCGTGTCGCACTGCGGGTGGAACTCCACCATGGAAGGCATGCTGCACGGCGTGCCGTTCCTGTGCTGGCCGTACTTCGCCGACCAGTTCGCCAACCAGAGCTACATCTGCAACGTCTGGGGCACCGGCGTCAAGGTCCACGCCGACGAGAGAGGGGCGGTCACCAAGGAGGATATCAAGAACAAAGTCGAGCAGCTGCTAGGCGACGATGGGATAAAGGCAAGGGCAGCTACGTGGAAGGACGCGGCGTCTACGAGCATCGCAGAGGGAGGGTCATCAGATCAGAACCTGCTCAAGCTTGTGAAATTGTTAACACATCAATAGTCTTCAAATAACGTACTAATATTTTCTTCAATAAAGTCCCTAGGTTTTCCGCTCGAGCAAGGTTTAATTCAACGGCTGTGCTAAAGTTGAGGCAAAATGCAAATATGCCAAATCGCAACTGAGGATTTGGATCCAGCAGTTGGTTGAAATCGACTGCAGAAATTTTCATGTAATCGTGCTCTAGGCACTCTCTTATTTCTATGGGAATTATATGTTGTGATAACCAACGTAGCTTGAATATTGAAGAGCTCACTATGCTTGGTCATCAGTTCACCTCGGCAAATACCCGGTAGATTTCTACTTAAATTTGACCTGGTTAAAACACATCTCGCCCCCACGTCACTCCTTGCAGACTCCAGAGAAACACATGCGGACACCAAAACCGCCGTCGCCGGCGGCCCTTCCCTCCATCCACCCCCTGCCCTCGAGGCGGCGGCGGTGGTGCTTGGTGTTAGTGGAGGCTCGTGACGGGACCGATCGAGGCTATGGTGTTGATGTAGAAGCCCTCAATCGATTCCCCTCCGGCGGAGCGCCGGAAAAGGCCCCAAGATGGGATCTCATGGGTACAGAAGGTTGCGACGGTGGAAAAAGGGTTTCGTGGTGCTCCTGGATGTTTTCAGGGTATATGGGTATATATAGGAGGAAGAAGTACGTTGGTGGTGCTGCGAGGGGCCCACGAGGGTGGGGGCGCGCCTACCCCCCTGGGCGCGCCCTCCTGACTCGTGGCCTCCTCGCTTCTTTCTTGACGTCCACTTCAAGTCTCCTGGATCACGTTTGTTCCAAAAATAACTCCCCCGAAGGTTTCATTCCATTTGGATTCCGTTTGATATTCCTTTTCTGCGAAACACTGAAATAGGAAAAAAACAGCAATTTGCACTGGGCCTTTGGTTAGTAGGTTAGTCCCAAAAATAGTATAAAAAGGGATATTAAAGCCCATTAAACATCCAAAACAGATAATATAATAGCATGGAACAATCAAAAATTATAGATACGTTGGAGACGTATCACCGGCCCCCCTCTCTCTCTCCACCCTCCTCGTCATCGTCGAAGGATGCGGCTAGGCAAATCCCTCGCGCAGACGGCGGAGGCGGGGCCTTCTCTTCTTGCAGCGGCGCGGGCCTGTGCTTGGCCCTGGTGCAGCCGTGGGCGCTCATTGCCGGTAGCTGGGCTCGCACTGGCGACCGTTCTCGAGGCGGTGGTGGTGCTTACCGTTAGTGGAGGCTCGTGAAGGGATGAGAGGAGGGGGTGCGGTGGTCGCTACCTTGTGGGACCGATCTGGGCCAGTGTCTCGGGAACCTGGTTCTAGCTACGTTGTGGTGGCGCGGAGGTCGGCCGGTGCGCAGGCAGTCAAATCCAACGATGGTGACTCCGGGGTTTCCACGAGCAGTGGCGGCTGGATCCGGCACATGGAGCTCAATGGAGTTCTGGATGCGGATTGGCAACCCTAGCAACAACCTTATTTGGTGTTAGGGTTGTCCTGCGGCTCAACATGCCTTGTTTGTTGCTCTTTGTTGTGCACCTGTTGGCGTGGTGTCGATTGACTAATGGAAGAGATAGAAATAAATGCATCTTCATGCTTGACTAGAATGAGGGCCCAATTGAGGGATGTCAAGAAATATATCTTCATGCTCGACTAGAATGAGGCTCAAATCGAGGGATGTCAAGAAATGTATCTTCATGCTCGACTAGAATGAGGGCCAAACCGAGGGGGGCATCCCGCTCAAAGTGTTCATTACTAAGTATTACAAAGATAAGTTTGGACATGCAGTTGTGAGTATTTTTTTCCTATATGAGTCAATAGCTGATGGCATCCCACATATCTTACTGGCAGAAAATGAGTTTTGAACTGCTCCATTCTCGGAGGAGTAAATTCGAAATGTGGTGTTTCAATTTTTAGGGACGTAATTATATTGGAGCTGTTATATTTGTTCAACAGTCTACATACAGAAAACTTTGACATTATCCTTAAAACTTTGAGAAAATTATACTCATGCTCAACACTAAGGAAGGAATTCATATTCAGCATATCAACAAATTTGTCACCTAAATGTCAGTTTTAAGATTTTTACGAAGGTCAAAATTAATCGGCTAAACGGGGTGACTGACTATGTCGAATGCCCCACTCAAATTGCTTTCATGCAGTGTTGGAACATACTCGATGGCACTTTTTTGTGTTGCATGGAATTGCACATGAGTTTCACTGGAGAAAGTTGAGGGGGGCCATCTTAAAATAGACTTTGAAAAATTCTACGATAAAGCCCAAGTGACCATTCATTCTACAAACCCTTTGTATGAATGGGTTCTCACCGAAATGGTCTAGGTGCGTAGAAAGTTTACTCTGTGGTCAATGATGATGTTGGTAGCTACTCTTGTTGAACGGACTAAAGTGGCTGGCCAGGTTGGGAGGGTGATCCCTCAATCGGCACTAGGTGGCTCGCCCACTCTGCAGTATGCGGTGACACCACACTCTTTATGGATCGTGACTTAGATAAAGCAATAAAGCTCTTGTTCTATTATTCTGAGAAAAAAAATCCCATTTTACTACCCTGAACAAAGTTGGTGGTTCACATAACCCCCTGATCTTTATTCTTGCTCCCTTCACCCCCTAAACAATCCTACACTGGGCACAATCAGTCACTGGGTGGTTTGAATCGACTGGTTGCTGACGCGACGATGGTCATTGGTGGGTTTGACCTACGAGTGGGCCTTCCTCGTCAGGTGGGTGGGGGCCCAATCGTCGGGCATCATCAACCCTCTCCTCGCGTAGGAGATAGCAGGGCAGCAGCGCGGCACCGCAGTGACGCTGGCGGCTTGGGAGTGTGGGGGTGGCCAGATCTAGGGCTGCGACCCCATTTGGTCTTGTTTTGGCCGGATCCAAAGTTCGACGAGGGTGTGAACACGGCACGATGGAGAGCTTGTGGCGGCGGCGGCCCAACCATAGGAGGTAGCAGGGTAGCGGCAGCGGCGTTGTAGCGATGCAGGTGGAGGAGGGAGGTGAGGGGGCGGCCAGATCCGGGGTTACCGACCCCATCTGGTCTGGTTTCGGCCGCATCTGAAGTCTAGCGGAGGTGTGAAGACGGCCTGTCGGCGAGCTTGTGGAAATGGCGTGACCTATACCCAATATGGGAAAAGAGAGAAGGGAGAGGAAAGGGAAGGGAGGAAGGAGAAGTAGGAGCTCGAGGCGGCAGCTCGGAACTCTGGCGGTCGCCGACGTCAGCCAGTGGCGGCGGGGCCGGGCGCGGTGCTATGGGAGGCAAGCTGCGAGGGGAGGCTCAGGGTGGAGCTCCTCTGTCTCTGCCAAGCCTGACGAGGGAGACCCACCGGCAGGTCAAAACCGCCCATTGACCATTGCCACGTCAGCAATCTGTCAAGTCAAACCACCCAGGGACTGATTTTGTCTAGTATGGGATTGTTTAGGGGGTGAAAGGAGCAGAAATAAAGATCAGGAGGTTATGTGAACCACCAACTTTCTTTAGGGTAGTAAAATGGACTTTTTTCTTCTTTTGAGGAACTTTCCAGACTTCAAGATAAATTTCTATAAGAGCATACTTTTCCGCTTCAATGAGCCTGCAGATTCGGCAATGAGTATGATGAGATCTTTAGTTGCTATCCTGGTCAGTTCCTGACTTGATATCTTGTATTCATATACATGTATGAGGGCCTCTTTTGGCATGAGAACATAGCTGAGTACAACCCATGCACCCTACCAAAAGTGGGTTGAGTAGGGAACTTTTGAGGTCATTCTTCCCAAACACAACCTGGGAAGTCATACCCCTCCCAACTACGGAAGATATGTGCCGCTAGTCAGGATGCTGCAATTTAAAGAGTTGATGGTTGTAGGATCGAAAGTATGTCTAGAGTGGGGGTGATTAGACTACTTGACCAAATAAAAACCTAGCCTTTTCCCAATTTTAGTTATGGGTAGATTTTAGCAAATCTAGCAAGTCAAGCATCACCATACACATGCAACTTTAAGAGTATAGCAGCAGAAAGAAAGACATTGCACATGTAATTAAATGAGGTGTTTGGAGAAGGCAAACGTAATGGGGACACGAAGATTTTTGGCATGGTTCCGATAGGTGGTGCTATCATAGGTCCACGTTAATGGAGACTTCAACCCACGAAGGGTAACGATCGCGTGAGTCTGCAGAGGGCTCCACCCACAAAGGGTCTGAAGGAAATATGCCCTAGAGGCAATAATAAAGTTGTTATTTTATATTTCCTTATATCATGATAAATGTTTATCATTCATGTTAGAATTGTATTAACCGGAAATTTAGTACATGTGTGAATACATAGACAAAACAGAGTGTCCCTAGTATGCCTTTACTTGACTAGCTCGTTGATCAAAGATGGTTATGTTTCCTGACCATAGACATGTGTTATCATTTGATAAACGGGATCACATCATTAGGAGAATGATGTGATGGACAAGATACATCCGTTAGCTTAGCATAATGATCGTTAAGTTTTATTGCTATTGCTTTCTTCATGACTCATACATATTCCTCTGACTATGAGATTATGCAACTCCCGAATACCAGAGGAACACCTCGTGTGCTATCAAATGTCACAATGTAACTGGGTGATAATAAAGATACTCCACAGGTGTCTTGTGACACCCCCGATTCAATCGTACACTAATCATGCACGCAAATGTGTACGATCAAGATCAGGGACTCACGGGAAGATATCACAACACAACTCTAAAACATAAATAAGTCATACAAGCATCATAATACAAGCCAGGGGCCTCGAGGGCTCGAATACAAGTGCTCGATCATAGACGAGTCAGCGGAAGCAACAACATCTGAGTACAGACATAAGTTAACGAAGTTTGCCTTAAGAAGGCTAGCACAAACTGGGATACAGATCGAAAGAGGCGCAGGCCTCCTGCCTGGGATCCTCCTAACTACTCCTGGACGTCGTCAGCGGGCTGCACGTAGTAGGGGCACCTCCGGTGTAGTAGGGGTCGTCGTCGACGGTGGCGTCTGGCTCCT